GGTCATCACCCCCACACTGACCAGAGAGAGGGAGGGGGTCATCACCCCCACACTGACCAGAGAGGGACAAGACAGAGATGGGGCGCTGTGCTCCGGGCACCCCTACACAGACAGAGGCAGCCCATGTGTGGGTCGGGGCTGGGTCTCCCTCGCCAGCACGAGGAAGGACCAGGGAGAGACAGAGACAGAAGGCCAGAGCACAGAGAGAGAGGAGAGGAGGTGGAAGAAGAGAGGATAATAATAATACAGTGTGTGACCTCCTGTCCCAGCACGAGGAATAATGAGCCTGTCTCTCAATAACAATAATACAGTGTGTGATCTCCTGTCCCAGCCTGAGGAACAGTGAGCCTGTCTCTCAATAATAATAATACAGTGTGTGATCTCCTGTCCCAGCCTGAGGAACAGTGAGCCTGTCTCTCAATAATAATACAGTGTGTGATCTCCTGTCCCAGCCTGAGGAACACACAGCCTGTCTCTCAATAAATACACAATAATAATGACTAACTGTTAGAGCTTTAGCAAGACTAATTATTCAGGCAGGAGAGTAAAGCTGTTGAATTTTAAAGGGAGAGGAGGGATGGGGGGGGACGGAGGAACAGACAGAAAGAGGAAGAGGAATATGAAGACGTTGCACAATGGAGCTGTAACACTGACAGCAGAGCGGACAAAGGGCAGCCGGTGACTCACCACGCCCTGCAGCGCTGGAGGGATCAGGCCGCAGTACACCGGGATGAACGCACTGCACACGCAGGCCTGCGGAGACAAACACATTCGGCATTACACCCTGCTGCCCCGTCTTCTCTCTGCCTCTGGGTTTATTTCTCTCTCTGCTGGCTCAACGGTCAAACCTCTGACTACAATTCCCTGTCTGTTGCACCAATAAAGCTTTTTTCAACAGGGTCCTGCTGTCGCCAGCTCATTAGCATTTCCTGAAAGGTCCTGGGCAATGCCCCAGCACTGTCCTGGTTTCTGCCCTGAGCTCTCCTGCTCTAGCTGCCCACTGGTGAGCGTCAGGTGACGTCCTCTGCAGGTCCTTTCCTATACAGCCTTCTTACCTTTCTGCTCCAGCTGGCCCACTGCACCAGGCCAGGAGGAGGGGGAGGATGAATATATTAAAAGTTCACCTCTGACCTGCACCCTATCCCTTGACAACAGACCAATCTCCTTCCATACTGATAGCCCCATAGCATCTACACTGACTGGAGGAGAGACCCGG